GCCAAATTATGCAAAGCAACACAAAATTAAAAAAGAAAAGTAGAGAAAATCTGATCAAGAATGACAAAATAAATTAAGCATCCACTGGAAGAAATCCCAATATTTGCAGATGTATCCGTTTCGGCCGTTTTGGTCTCGGACGTTTAAGTAAAGCAGTGACTACAGAAAATCGTTCACATGCGAGTTTTGGAAGCTTCTTCTCGTAATATCCTGGAACCCCTTTGTTGTAATGCCTACATCAATCAGAAAGTATAATTGTACCTAATACACCCATCGATTGAATAAGTATTGGCCATGCCACCGCCCGACAAGAATAATCCACAAGACAATAAAAACACTGCTACATAGAGAGCGGTCTATAAACAATTATAAAAATATCTAATTAAATTTGCGGCTTGTTTACCGGCGGCGAATACAATGAATTGCAGCTTTTTCTAACGGTGCTCTCTGAATGCATTAATACGTATACAAAAGTTAAAATACAGTAAAAAGGCATATACATTTTTACACCCCACCCACCCCCACCGCCAAAGAAAATAATATTTGTGTTGAAAATATATATAACTTGAAAACACTGTTCAGTTGTTCAAATTATATTAGGCCTATTCTTAATAAATTTAGTTTATAAACTTTCAAAATATAACCAATCTGGTCAATTTTATTATAAGTGTTACACACTTCAAAAGGCAACTAATATTGATTAAATAACTTCTCCTTTATTACAGTATAGACCAGGCCATATTTACATCAGCAATCACCTTGGTTTCTCAATTTACAGATTATTTGCAATTACAAATACAAATACATATACTCTTTAATCGCAATTTGCAAATTACAAATGATCAATTACAAATTGAAGTTTGACAAAAATAGGAATATAAAACTAGATAGAAAAATATAAATATAAAGAAAGATATATATAAATTACTCTTATTATTATTATAATTATTAATTAATTTATTTATTTATAGTTAAATATTATAATTAAAATTATTGCCACCATTAATAATTATTTATTATTA